CTCGACTGATCCGGTGGTTTCACTTTGATTAACTCACATTATGGTTTTGGCAAAAGTGTTTTCCATCGGATGCTCTTCCTGACCATTTATCTGGGCTTGGGACCAGAACCAGAGACACTGGCTTGTGCTCCGTAGTGGCTGATTTAAACATTAAAGAATAATTTGACATCTTTAACACAAATAATTCAATATATTTAATGTTGGAGAATAATGATCTGATGTATGGAGGAGGTCAGACGTTTGTGAGGCACCGCCTCGGATCTTTGCCTCTGATCTGGAAATGGAACCGATGCCAACGCTGAGGCGGGTCAGATAAGAACGTGAACAGGAAGTCCCAGTCGTGTTTTGAAGTTAGAAGCTGTTCCTCGATGAACGCTCGTCTCCCGCTGCCTTTCTTTTAAAGAAAGGTCAGAGCCCTCAGAGTGTGTGTTGGGAGGACTCTCCACTACTACCACACCAAACCTTCGCTCAGTGTCTGTGAAAGTCTTTGCTGTACCTGGTTTTATGGCCACGGCAGCCATCTTGAGTCAGTCAGTCTCATTGGACCCTGTCCACGGGTCCATACAGTCCTGTGAATGAGCCCCGGGTCGGTTCAGAGTCTGATCTGGATCCTGGTCTTCCTGTCACTTGAATGGACTTCATGTTTGTCTTCCGTGTCATTCTGGTTCTGATTCTGGTTCTGTTCCCTGCAGCCAACAGGAAACTGAAGTACATCAGCCTGGCCGTGCTGGTGGTCCAGAACGCCTCGCTCATCCTCAGCATCCGCTACGTCCGCACGCTGCCGGGCGACCGCTTCTTCGCCACGTCGGCTGTAGTGATGGCCGAGGTTCTGAAGGTTCTGACGTGTCTGCTCATCATCCTGTCCCAGAAGAGATGTGAGTCTGTGTACTGATCCGATGGCCCGAGAGCCCAGCGGCTCGTTGTTCTGACTCTGTGTGTGTCTGCAGTCAGCGTGGCGGAGACGGCCCACTTCCTGTTCGACTCGGTGGTCCTTCAGTACAAAGACACCCTGAAGCTGGCCGTGCCGTCGCTCATCTACACGCTGCAGAACAACCTGCAGTACGTCGCCATCTCCAACCTGCCCGCCGCCACCTTCCAGGTCCGACACGGCCCGTCTGAAACGTTCAAACATCTGCAGAGAAACAGAAACTTTTAAATGAGTTCAATTCTTCAGACGTTTGTTGACATTCAGTTTAAAACTCTGGATTTATTTTCTTTATCTTTATGAAAGTGGACATTTTGAGATCTTCCAGTCTGGTTTTAAACCACTACACAGCACCGAGACAGCCTTGGTAAGGGTCTGTAATGACATTCCTCTAGCGAATGACTGGTCACTCTGTGGTCCTGGTACTCCTCGACCTTACTGCTGCTTTTGACACAGTTGACCACAGTATCCAGTTCTCACAGTTAGAACACTGGGTTGGGATTACTGTTGCAGCGTTGAATGGTTCCGTTTATATCTGAACGTCAGGAGTTGTTAATGTTAACAGTTTATCTGCTTCAGTGCCTCTTTTCTGTGGGATCCCACAAGGCTCGATTCTTGGACCCCTTCTGTTCTCATTGTATCTGCTCACCTTAGGGTCTATCCTGAAGAAACATGGTCTTTCCTTTCATTGTTATGCTGATGATTGTCAGATTTATCTGCCCAACAGCTCCTGTTCCATTCACTCTCTCCTAAAATGTCTGGATGACATCAAGGCATGGATGGCTTCACATTTTTAAGTTTCAACGATCAGAAAACTGACGTCCTTGTGTTTAGCCCCAGCTCTGCTGCTGTCTTTGTTCCTGTAAACCTGGACTCCCTTCAGCCATATCTTAAACAGTCTGTTACAAATCTCCGGATGGTTTTAGACTCTTTAAGTTTAATAACCAGATTAACTCTGTTCTGCAGAAAAGCTTCCTCCAGTTAAGCTGAAGTCGGTGCTGATCAGATCTGACCTTGAAAACTAGTCCATGTCTTCGTTACAACCCAGCTGGACTACTGTAACTCACTTTATGTTGGGGTCAGTCAGGTGTCCTCTCACGTCTCCAGCTCGTCCAAAATGCTGCAGCTCGACTCTTAACAGGAACTCACAGGTTTGATCATATCTCACCAGTTCTGGCCTCCCTTCACTGGCTCCCTGTATGGATCAGAACAGATTTTAAAACTCTCCAGTTGACCTTTAAATGCCTAAATGACCTTGCACCCTCGTATCTCTCTGAGCTACTTCAACCAGATGTTTCTCCTCGAACACTGACATCATGTGAGCAGCTTTGGTTGAAGCTCAGAGGAGATCGGGCTTTTTCAGTCGTGGCCCTGAACTGTGGAACAATCTGGCCCAGCATCAGACAGACCCCCTTCACTTCCTGTTTTAAAATCTCTGATCAAAACTCTCCTGTTCTCTCTGTCACTTCACACAGTGGGAGTTCGTTTAGTATTTTATTGTTGGGTGTTTTATTTTTGATGCTTTTAATTACATTTAATTTAATTTATCTTTAACTTGCAGCCAGTGATGTTATTGTTCAGCACTTTGGTAACGGCTGCTGCTTTATTAAAGAATGTCTTGACTTTCTAAACATCTGTTTTAAATGGATCTCATGCAGCCGGAGTGAAGTTCTGAATGGTTCCGCTCGGATCAGTTGGTCAGGTACTTTGACCCATACCAGTGCTGCAGTAACAGGCTCCTCCCCCTTCAGGTGACGTACCAGCTGAAGATCCTGACCACGGCTCTGTTCAGCGTCCTGATGCTCAGGAAGTCTCTGTCCCGGGTACAGTGGGTCTCCCTGCTGCTGCTGTTCGCCGGAGTCGCCATCGTCCAGGTAAGCCCCGCCCCCTGCAGCACTGTCACCATGGAGACGGAAGTGGGTGATGGACTGTCTGTCTCCACAGTGAAAGGTGGTGTTTGTTTAAAGGTGCAGTCAGGCCGGTCCAACCAGCAGGAACATTTCAAAGAAGGGTCGGGCGGGTCGGGTTCTGCAGGTTCTGCAGGTGGGGGGGGGACATGTCTCATTAAATGTTTTTTCTTCACGTGTGGACGTTGGCTCCTTGTCTGTAAAACTCACTGAGACTGAGTCGTTGTCTTTCTAAAGTCAGCTGGGTGTGGCGGCCATCTTGGATCAGGTTGTCTCTGGAAGTTAGAAAATGGTCCTGATGGGTTCAGTTCAGCAGATATTTTGCTAACAGATAGGGCTGGGCGATATGGACCAAAATTAGTATCAATATTTTAAGTTAAATCGCGATATACGATATGTATCTTTTTTTTTTTTCTTTCCCTAAAGTAATAAAAATATATTTGAGTCAAATCTCTGTCCAGTTGTCACACAGGCACATTTATTAACGGCTGTAACTGTACAAAATAAATGTCTAATAAACTATTTACATGTATTAAATAATAATCCTCTTCAGCTGGGGGCAGCGGTGGCTCAGAGGTTAGAGCAGTCGTCCTCCAGTGTGGGGGTTTGAGTCCACCAGCAGTCACATGTTGAAGTGTCCCTGAGTGAGACACTGAACCCCCCGTTGTCTCCGTGTGTCCCATCAGTGTCTGAATGTGATCAACTCTGATTATTCTGTGCACAGATCTAGTATAGAGCTGTGTGAATGAGGCACAGATTGTTGTAAAGAGCTTTGAGTGTCGTTATAAGATAGAAGGAGCTGTATAGGTGCAGTCCATTCAGCTGCGCCGCCTCCACGACGTTGGTCAGCGTGTGAACTGCAGGTCCGACACACTTCAGCCTCCTTCCCTGAAACGAACCCCGG